ATCCAGGCATTAACTCGGTAATTGGTTTCTGCGACTCAACTGAGATGACTGATCTATCCGCTTCTTTATCATTGTGCTCAATCTGAGCCTACCCATAGGCCCAAAATCCGTACAGTGCCTTGATGATTCTAAATTGCCATAGATTTTCACATCCCCAGACGAGGGAGATAGGAGATAGATTTTCAGTAAAGAGAGGAGATATTTTCTTCCTTTTGCTTACAATTATAGACACGTAGAGCACCATATTCGGGATGTCGGAACTTTTAGTTGCCAAGATCGGCCCCATCAGCTGGCCCAGCGCACCGCCAAAGGGATTCGCAAGGGTCGCGATGGCCGTTGCACTGGTTCTTCCTTTGCCTGTGAACCATAGATCGCTGTAACGCGTGGGGGCGCTTAGGCAGAAGGGTTGCGCAAGGCCAATCAAAATCTGCCCGAACATTGCAAGGCCGAAGATGCTATTGCCGGCTCGTGTGCCCGCATAGCGAATCCAGTTGCCGAGAAGAAGGAGCACAGCTGAGACCGTGAGGGAGAGCTTAGGACCCCCTTTATTGAGGGCACAAATGACCACGCTGGAAGGGCGCAGTTAAGTGTTAGTGATGGGTGAGAGTGTCACATCTCTCATGGGGATTCCTTACGGGGCAGAAATGCAAAAGGCCAATTGGAAGGCTATGCTCATCCAGTTGATCGTGGCTTCTGAGACACGAAAATGTTCCGAGGCAGTCTTGGAGACGGCGGAGAAGGTTAACCACTGTGAGAGATACGTTATAAAGTCAGCGAATCTTGTCTCTCTAGGTCTCTCTCCCCCTCTCTCTCCCGCTCTCTGTCCGTCTTTCTGTACGCGCGCACGAGTGTGTATACGGTCTCACATACATCCCAACTAACAATAGTATTCAACAATACCAACTGCGCCAGGCCGAAGAATCGGCGCTTATAGACCTTGTATTCTTGTAGCTCATTGCCACCTGTTGCTGCAGGGGAAGTATTGTGAGGCGCATCCGAGCTGGTGCTTGTCTCGACATGAACACAGTCGGTGCCGCTACTAGCCTTAATCGCATCCATCTCGTCTCTGGCTGCGCAGGTCCAGAGCCAAACTTGTTACCGACTATATGGCTATCATCGTCTTTCGTATGGACTGGGAAGGGGCGGAACAGAGAAGAGTGAGAAGCTGGTCAAAAATTATTATTATCAAGTAAGCCCGGTGGTTTGGTTGAACTCTCGAACGGCAGCATCCGCCTGGTATATACCGAAAATTTTAGGGAGAAAAAGGCGGAGATTCATTTCCCACCACGGACAACTGCTTCGGGTCATGAGACGATACTTTCATGGCTGGTCTCTGGGAACAAGGGAGACGCGCAGATTAGCCCGTAAACGATGAACAAACCGCGGGCGGGAGCCGCCACTGAAGTTATGGATTTAGCCCCTTGCTGCTTCCAGGGTTACGGGTCACCAACACCAAAATGGTAACATCCGCATGTGGATATGTGCTTGTGAATCAATGTCTAAAGGAAACCCCCATCGATCGTGCGCCTACAAAATACGCAGAGTCAACAGAACTCACCGTTTTCATTGGAAATTTTCTCAAAGCGCCGCAATTTTATAATGCCCGATTCATGGACCAGAGTCCATACAAGACACACGAAAAGGGTCTCTAGTTTAGGGAGATCCAAGTCAAACAAGGGGCGGTTCAGCGCTGAGGTGAGGAAACTTTAAATTCTAAGGGCAGAGTGTGGATTTTTGTGGCGTCGATCTGTCCATGGATTTATGCTGATGAACCCTTTTCATGCCTGACAGGAGCGGCGGCCCCTCCCTTGATATACTGTGGAATAATAAGATCGAGTCTTAAGTTACCCCATTTATCTTGGGCCACTTGCTTCTATTCGTCCGGCACGGAGTGCGGGAACAGTCATTGCTGAGGATGTCCACCAGGTCGGTTTATGTGACCAGAACTCAGGCATGTCGCTGGGCCTGTTTCTTCTCACTGAGAGCTTTTCCCCCGATCGGGCGCAGATACATACGCTGTATACGCTGTAATGCTAGTTCGCATTCAATCCCTGCTAGGAAAGCACGCTATCGGTGATCAAAGTTCGCTCATTGATCATCGCGACGAGCGGGTTTAATTCTCCGACTTCAACAACGGCATAATCCTGTGTATGACAGGAGACAGTGTTTATCTATCTCTCGACCTTGCAGGTTATTGCCATGAGACGATGGGGGTATGAATCAGAACGCCGCTTATTTAACCGTCTAAAATGCATCAATGTGCATCAATGGCAACGCCAGACTACGGCATTCAATGCTGCCAGTTATGATTTTTGCTTCTGTGCCTGATCACAAATCTATACCACCCCGAGCATGAAAGATTGCAGGAGCCAGGATGTTTTCTGTTGGGATCTTCTGTAAGAACACATCAATCAACCGCCTTAGTTATATTGATTTCACGATGGGGGTTGCCAATCTCAAGAGCCAGTACGGAGTAGATTTCCTTGTGAGGCAGCATGGAAGCCACAGCCTGTAAGTTAGAACCATTTTTACCTACGGAGTACTCTGTACTGCTTTCCCATTCATATCTTCTAGTTCTTGTAGGCTGCTATCTGCGTTGATACCTTGATCTCACTCAAAAAGATTCAAATTCCCGCACCCTTTCTTCGTTCGTTAAAAGCCACGATCGTTCTCCCAACATTCTGTTGTCTTCGGAGCAACGCCCCAGCAAGAGAGTTTGAGCCGACGCTCCGGCAGCTTAGAAGCGAATATCCAACTTGCGCGCGATAAGTTTCCCAAGGTTACTCTAAACACATATGCTCCCCTCCCACACAACATTGTTTTGTCGTCCGCTGAAGTAATTGGTCGGCATGCATTTGGCCAAAGCGGTAAATTGACATCGCTACATTTACGGTTCTTGACCTGTTAACGCTTACTCCATTTTAACATCTTCATATCATAAAGAACGTGTCCAAGCCCTGGTAACATCGTGCCGGCATAATGAATGAGACGGGAAAGGAGGAGGAGGAGGCTGGTGGTAGTGGTGGTGGTGCTGGAGAGAGTGATGATGAGGACGAAAGGCAGAACCTGTTTGCCCCTGGAAATGTATTTCTTGGTGCAATATAATATGGGAGGAGAATGCTTATATATCGTAAAAGGCATGAGCGGTTTGGCTATCCGCCCAGTCCTACAGGGGCCTTGTGGGGGTATCATCTGCTGAGAATAAGGCTGAATACTCACTAGTTACCCACGCTATCTCCGCAGGACAGCGACCGCGAATTCTTGATTTTGGCAAAGCATGCTCTCGTGCTCTTCGAAAAAGGTCTCTTCCAACTAGGCGTCTCTAGCGACTGGCCTGGTCGGGAATTCTTGGCAGTGGCAGCCCTAAAAACAATGTGCATTGAAGCAATTTGGGGGTGCCATGTCTAAAGTACAGAATACTGTATCCAGGATTGGGTTTCTTGGTGCGCCTGACAACCCCCCGACTACCTTGGACCAAATCTTCTTGAGGTTTTTTTCTGATGGTTTCAAAGGTTATCTTAGATCCCTTGGCACAATGCATGAAAGAAAGGCACCTGTAAGACAAATTAACCATGTCTTTTGTCTCACAAATGACTGACCCATCCCAAGGTGAAAAAAAAAAAGAAAAAGCTGCGATTTTGTTTCAAATTGGATTGTGGGATAGTGGCCAGATGAGCCCTTTTTTTGATTCTTCTAACCACAGTAATTTTCAAGCCCAAATCCTTTTGAATATGCAAAGCAAAAAAGGGGTGGCTGAACACAGCCACAGAAGATGAGATGTGTGTTTATTTGATTTATTCCCACAGTGAAAGTGGCCTGAATACACTGATATGCCCAATGAAATTCTGGGTTTGCGGCCTGGTTCTGATCTGATATTGGTATATATCCCAGGTCGGTCGATTCAGGCCTGGAACGAGGAGGGCTTTAGCTCTTCATATTGCGGAAGTGAGAGGCGTCGATTTGAGGCTCACAGTTGAGGCTCATTGTAGAATAAAATAACATTTCATCGCGGCGGCCGTTTATATTGATTTGGAGACTCCTGTGGGGCTTCATCTGCATCTGTTTCTCTCGCTCCTTCTCCCACGGTCTCCCGTTTCCGGTTTCTGGTTTGCGGGAGGCTTCAAGGGTTGTGTCTGAGCTGCATAGTTTTCGAAACCTAATAAACTTAAACAAGGAGGGTGTGCTCCGTAGAAGCTAACTTATCACCAAGAGCCGTTCTTATCAAGCCTCAACTCTCGCTCAGCTTTCATGGTGATCAGATGATGTTGGCTGTTTTTTTGGTGGCTGGTCCCGTTGGCTTTACCAAGAGCCAGTGGGGTGCCTGGATGCGGTGGATGTATCCAGCCCGTGTCAGCCATGGATAGTCGTTTCCATTATCAGGCAGACAGGGAGATGTCTGGCTGATGTTGCTGTGAGCTGTCAGTCGGAGGTTGTATGGAGGAAAAGGAGACAATCTTCAGTTACCAAGGGATGTACCACGTGTTTTTGGCCGTAGCCGTTGTCTGTTTGTTTTGTGGGGATGGGTGTTGGGTCACGGGGTCCTTGGTACCTGTATCTTGGTAGCCTTTTACTGGTTCTGCCGTGTACCAGGTACATGTTTCTCCAGCTGCAAGCTGGGCCCTACAGGGATCAAGAATTTACGAGGCACCACCTTCAAAGAGTCCTCTTATTTCC